AGTTATATGTACTTATTGGTTTCCCTATTATTTTTTTTCTTACAGAAGACATCTCTTATCCGATAGTAACGAATTAATCCCTTGACCATCAATAATGGAAAAATCCGTCTTTTCCTTTCTCTAAATATATTCGGATTGATATATATCTTACAATAAGTGTCTATTTCTTCACCTAAGATAATAAGGAGGGAGGGTCAAGTAAAAAAAAATTTTTTTGAAGAGAATAATAAATCGATTGTTTTGAAAATTAGTGCATGTTTTCATTATTTTTACATAAAAAAATTTATGTGTGTAGTTTAAATACTAAATAAAAATATGCACTAATTTTCAAAACAATCAATTTATTATTCTCTTAAAAAAAATCGCAAAATTTAATTGTCATTCACTTGACCCTCCCCCCTTAATCTCAATGACGGACAAATCCATACATTTAAGGAGGTTTGATCATTACTTGTGAGTCAAAAATGCGATTGAAATAAATGTCATTAGGGGAGACCGGGGCTAAACCGCCAGTTTTTTTTTCGGTGCCGATTTTTAACAACAAAATAAATAATTTAAGTTAAATATTGTATACCATTGTAAAGAGTGAACCTTTAGCTACAAAATTTATTTAGGAAATTTTTATCTACGTCGCTTTGTTTAACCGGTATGGAGCAAAAACGACAACAGTGCAAAAATTGAAATCTCAAAAAAGCCGGGGTTGAACCGCCACCCCCCCCCCCGGGGTTAATCCGCCACACTGCATTTTCAATACATATACGTACATCCAATCCTGAAAAATAATAGGATACATTTTAATAATTGTTTTTTAAGAGAAAAATATAAAAATTTATTATAAATTTTTATGCAAAACGTTATTAAAAAATAATTGTTTTACCTATTCTTCGTCAATTATTAGTGTATAGAATATTAACAAACATATACTGGGGTATGAGAGCGTCAACGACTCGGGAATTGCTTATTTTGCCAACATTATAGGTTAGAACCGGTCACTTTGTGACAATAAGCTTTCTATACTCGAAAGCCACGGTAGAGCCTTAATTTTTTTATATGATTTACATAAACACTTTACACAAATAATCGCAAAACTAGAGCAATATTGACCGTATAGTTTTTTTGTAATATTATTCAGAAGTTGACCATTTTTAGCCTATATACCCTCATGGAGAAAGTCGCTCCGAGGTAGATTATTACTGGTTTAGTACTTAGCCATCTTAGGATTTTGAAAAATTAACAGTTGATAGATGAAACATCAAGTAAGATGTTAAAAATCATAAAGACTTTAAAAATCGGACTTTACCGTGTGGATTGAAGGCTTTATCGTCACAAAGTTCAGGTCCCGGCATAGAATAAGCGATTCCCGGTCGTTGACGCTCTCATACCCCGACATATATTTATTAATATTCTATACATTAATAAATTGACGAAGAATATAGCACGTAAGTAGCATCCACAATTCATTATACTAATATTGCATATAATTCGGGATCGCTGTAATGACATTTATTTTAGTCGCATTTTTGACTCACAAGTAATGATCGAACCTCTTTAAGATACTCGTAATTTGTAAATGAATGAAAATGAAAAATTCACGCAATTCCAATCCGCCCATTTATCAGGGCCGACTCAAATTTGACGTTGCCCGACTGAAATGCACGCCCTCCGTAGCGTGCTCGATAGCTTTACGCGAAACAGCTACAATAAGCTGTTTTATTTTTACAATTTTATTTTTAATATGCCTTTGAGAGTTACATTACAGCTGTCAACATTTTTGCTATGTCGCCCGTGTATAAGAGTATAACTTCAATAATTCAAGATTTCTATATATAAACGAATATCCTCTTAAATTTAAACTAATTCTTATCATATTGATTTGAGCAACCCTTCATAAGGAGTTACAGAATCCCGCTACTGGCCGCTGTCGGCCGCGCTATCTAAGTAGACCGCTCGACAGACTCAACCGAAGGATTATACGGGGTCTCGCGACGCCGCGCCGTGGTTCGCTGTTCCCTTAATTTGAGTAACGACCTTCTCATCGCCGCGATTAGAGTCAAAACGCGCCGCTTCCGCGTATGCCACACGAGGCATTGTCAGTGTTTAATCGTTTATTCGTCACTCTCCACACTGTATACACATACGTATATACTCTGCGCTATGTACACAATCGTGCACAGATATATTACGCACATGCCCTTACCTAAACTTCACTCAAAGATTTCACAGTGGGAACGCATGCTGTGAGGGGCTTTTACGCCTCCTCGACGCCGACGGATCGGATGTCGACTTTATATACTTGTTACTACCGAGAGCGCAAAAAAACAGGACTAATTAACTGAGAATATATCCCTACTATCGTAATGTATATCGTAAAGGAAACCGTAATCAGTGAAGCACGATTTCGTAACTAGTAATAAATATTTATCTTAGCGTGTAGATTATGCCATGTCCAAATTTTCCTATCTATCGCACGTGTAAATTTTTATCGTATATACTGATAACCCTTACTGAAATTTAAGTCGCAAAAATCGTCTAAGATAAGAATATATGTATAAGATTAAAGAATATCAAGGAAATAAATATATAATTTAATAAGTATATGCATATAATATATAAAATAAAAGAAATCTCGTTAAAGAGAAAATGAGCTCTTACATATAAACCGTCGTAGCTATTGAAAGCAATTAAGGGATCGCTTCTTTAATTATTAATGTTACCAATTAGATATTTGGTACATTGAATTTTTTCTCTAACAAATAACTTGATATTTAACAATTAACTATTTTTAAACGCAGTGTTTTAACATTCTTAACCAAGTTGATTTGATCGAACCTGCGGCATCGCTCAAAGAAGCAATCCCTTCACAGCTCTCTATATATAGGATGAAAAACATATAAAATGACAAAAATATATAAATAACTAAAGATAGAAAGAGAATTAGGAAAATGCAATAATACCAACGATAATCCAACGGGTCCAGCCTAGTCTTGCGAAAGGAACAATGGGAATTATCACTGTTTGCTACAGTACTTATAAGCACCCTCCCCCCTCCCCTTTACGCATAATACTCGTTGATTAATGAATGATCCTAAAAAATCGCCACCGAACTTATCGACGAGCGTTTCAGATGTTGAAACTCAATTTCCGCGAAACCTTGATTTTCCTTTGATTAGGAGTAGAAAAGGATATGCGCTCTCCTATTCGCGAGAATGCCGAATAATTTTTTCGCGAGCGTGTAACGAGCTGTTGAACGCATCTATTATAACTTCGTCATAACCACGATCTATTCATTCGTTTCGTCGTTATCATTTTTGGATATGTTTGGATAATTTAATACGTTGATGATTGCCAAATATGAGTTGACTCTTGGTGGGCGATCTATAAATGGATGCTATTCACCAGCTATTCACCGATTCTATTTTTATAAGGAAAAATAAGAATTTTATTGTGAGTTTTAATGACGAATAAATATAATTAAGTAACACATTGAAAAACATGCTGTTATAAAAATAACGTCGAGAACGAAATTATCTAATTGGTAACTCTTGCAGTCAACAGTTAAAGTTAGGGCTGCTGATTTGCTTCGAAGGCTTCGAGATATTCAAACTTCAAAGCTTCGAAGAATTAAAATTATGTAATTATTAAAATTTAATATAATAGTAATAGTATTGCAATAGGTACATATTTATAAAATTATATGACAAAATCTGAATAAAATTTCTAATGTTGCAATTATATATCGCTTATGTCTTATGTCGCAAATATATTTTTCGAAGCTCCGAACCTTTTCAAAACTGTCGAAGACTACCAGTTAAAATTAACGTGTTAAAATTGTACTAGTACTCTCTAAAAGTCGAAAAGTGAAATGTCACTCAAAACGAATAAAATGCAAGTGTAACGAAAATTGAAAATTGTGTCTGTGTCCTTCGAGTGATTCGCCACTCTAAGAAAGAGTAAAATTGCGCTCTATAAGTCGGAGTGAAATCGTACTTTGAGTGAAAGGGCACTTTTTACGAGTGGCTGCGTTCCAAAATTTAACCTCGGTAACTAAAATGCTATATAGAGTACGTGACGTAAACTATAGATTTTAGTTACCAAGGTTGAATTTTGGAACGCAGCCTACACTGTTGAAAAATTTTTGTATATAGTTGTGTTAAAAAAGGTCCTTGTTAAAATTTTTATGTAAAATAATCAACACATACGTGTGTAGATTTAACATATGCTTTCTATGTTAATTGAACTTTACAAATTTAAAACGTAAAATTATTAAAATAATTTAAAAAATATGTTAAAGTAACACAATTTAAACGTATTTATTAAATGTGTTAAAATTTACAGAAAAAAAGTGTTGATTTTACTTTATAACAGAAGTAAAATTTACAGAAGAAGAATGTTGATTTTATCTTCCAATCTTAACTTTAACATAAAAATTATGTTAATTGTACACATAATTAACCTCAAATTACAATCAGAATAACATTTCCTTTCTGTTAAAATATTTTAACATAGTATTGATGTTACCATTTAACACATCCATATTATGTTAAACTGACACAAAAATTTGAGTGGACCGTTTTGGACATGTGATTTATGTTATATTTAACACAAATTTTCCAACAGTGTAATAATAGTAAATCAGTGTTTATAGGAGTGAGTGGGTTATGTCACAATTTTGAGTAGAAAATTTCACTCTGTTAGGGTCATTTATCAGTCGATCTTTAGTGAATCGTGATTCACAACAGCTTTAGAGTGAGATCGTATCACTCCGGTAGAGTAGCCATTCTAAAAATTTCAGTAAAAAATTCACTTCTACTTTGTGTGTGCATTTACTCAAATTATAGTGACAACCCTCTCTTTTGGAGTGACTATCACAATCACTCTAATATATGGCAAAAATAGGAACGCAAATTTCTTTGGGGATGTTGTAAGAAAATAAGTACGAGAATTTTCCCGCGGCACTCGGAAATGTAACGACAAATCTGGCAGGGATCAATAAAACTCACCCCTTCAAATTCCTTTTCGAGGAATTGATACTTCTCATCTATATATCCTCGTGGCGGATTCCTCGCGCTAGGAGCGTGAGAGCTACTTCGTGATCCGCAAATTTCTTTTCGCGAAGTAACGTTTCCGCGAAAGACAGCAATGAAGCCTCGAGAACCCCCTCGAGCGGGATCAAATATTATTTCCGAATTTCGCTACCGTCCCGTTCGACGGCGACGCGAGGAACCTCTCCCGAATCTCTCGCAGGATGCGCACGAGAAATTTTTAAAGATGCGAATATCGGTTTTCCACGCGGTGGAATATCTGCGGTAACGGGATCGAGGGAGGTGACAGGTGGCGGCGTGGCCCGATGGTCTTCGCGACGGATATACGGCGCGCGCCGTCGGGATTTGGATGGACGGGACTCGGAGACTCGAGTGGCCGAAGACGACGGAGGCACGTAAAGCGTCCACGTTGACGTCGACCGTGTTACTACGGCAGGAGACCTCCGCGATATGTCCGTCGAAAGAGATCAAAACAACTTCTACTAGTTTCAAGTCCCTACCACACAGTTCGCTCTGCTTCTCTTACCACGTCACGAAGTCTCGTTTCGAGGAATCGCCTCGTTGCCGCCGCCGGGGGTGTCGATCAGGGCAGAAGAGACCGAGAGTCGTCGTCGAGTCCGAAATGCTTTCGTAGTCGCGACTGTTGTGCGCAATAGTAACGCACAATTGCGATTTTTATATGAGCAATGCGCGCGATTGTATAGAGACAACATCCGCCAGTGGGAGGGACACAAACAATCTCCCCACGTGATTAGGGCGTTCTCACGTTTATCAAAGGGGGAAATGAATAGTTTAAACGACACGCGCGTGAAAAGCAACGAGTGAACAACGCTGACTTTCAGGTGAGTATCTCTGGTATCAGCCGATTTCAAAATATAATTTCGTTCATCTGGCTACATCTGGAAAGAACTGGGCAAACGTAACGATTAGTGAGATGTAATATAGTCAGCGGAGTAATATCATTTTACTTTGTTCATGTTTTTTTTTTTAACTAGACAGATTAGTTCAGACTTATAGATATGCCATAGTTGCGTCAACTCGGATCTTTCTAGAATTTTGTCGAGTTTTTTGCTAATTTGGCCACAATAAAGGCAGACCCGCCTAAAGCAGCGGAACACTACGTGATTACCGTAACGGGATTTCTCACCGAATTACAAATTTAAAAAATATAGAAATAATAACTTTATAAAATGAGTTACACGTGTTCCTTCCTATCATGTCATAACCCGGAGGTCACTTATTATCGACTGGCGTATCGTTTATCTCACCGTGCTATGCAATATTAACAAGAGATCATCCTTTGCTTTTATAAACAATGCAAAAATGATCGAGATTTGACTCTGCAGGAACGCCACGCCTTGTTTTCGATGATGATTAAAAGACTCTTACTTTCGATTTGTTATACAAATTTATATGGATAGATCCATTATAAAGTATATTCATATATGATTATCTTTAACCTTATAAATATAATTTTACATGATCCTACATGATAATATACTAGTATATAAAATCATATATGACTATATAAAGTTATACTTAAAGAGATTTAACCATATAATATTGTTCAAGATTATATTTCCATTTCTTATATGACCATATATAATTATATATTTACTAATATGAACAAATAAGAGGTATTTTTTCTCGGGTATATAATTATTAGGGCTGGTAATTTGCTTCGAAGGATTTTGATATTCGAAACTTTGAAGCTTCGAAGAATTCGAAGATTCGAACAATATATTTGTGCGAATGTCGAATTCATTTAAAGGACGCTAAAAATATTGTAAAAAGAAAAAGAATTAGTCAATATATATACTAAAAAAATGTGTAATTATTCCTAAATTACAATCTTGAAATATTATAACATGAATTATTACATGTTTAAAATGGAAAAGTTTTAAATAAAAAATTAAGCCGTTCTTATTGAAACATGAAACGAGTTTTCGGAAATATTTCTCGTTCTGAAATTATCAAATAACGCATACTGCGATATTTGTCCTCAATATGCTATAATTGTTTGAAGTATATCTATCACTTAAAAGATTAATATTGCAATTGGCAATTATATATCTTATTCAAATATATATATATTTATATTAAGAATAGTTGTTGAGTTCAAGAATAGTTATTTATATTTGTTTATCGCAAAATTCGTATGTGTACATATATATAGCGAGAATAGCGCGCGTTGGCTAATGTATAGTTTTTAAGAGTGGAGATCACTTTTAAACTTTCAAAAAATCAATTTTTTTAAAGGTTGAACATTTTATAATATTTTTAAAATAAAACGCTTGTTACAATTTGAAACATTTACCAAGTTACAATATTTTATTACGTCAGAGATTTAAATTGTGTTATATACTGTCACTGAAACTTTAATCGCTGTTTTTCGAAATATTTTCGAAAATTCATCAATTAGATGTCCAACACATTTTGCTTTTAATCTATATAAAAATTGTTAAGACAATTAACAATTAACAATTCGTTAACAAAATTATTTTTAAACTAAATAGAAAATTAAAAAAAAACTAAAATAAAAACTAAATAAAACTAAATAAAACTAAATATTTTTTGTAAAAAAAAAAATACTTGGCTTTATTGCTCTAATAAAAATTTGTTTTGAAAAATAAAAACATTTGTCGAAACATTCTCAGAGGCCATGCAGCTCCGTTGTGGCGAAACGATATTACCCGCAGTTGAAAAAATTCGCTCTGACGCAACGGATGTCGCGGGAATACATAAATATTTCTTCGCCAACAGAGCCAACTGTGGAAATTTCTTTTCATGTGATTTCCACCATTGAAGGGGATTCATATTAATATCAATTTGTGGCTCACAAAGATACAGTTGGATCTGCTGAGCTGCCGAAGTTAAATGCGTGTTTTCGGGCTTTTTAAAAAGATAGTCTAGTACGCTATTTGTATCCAGGCTCGATTTCTTTCATAAATGTTTTGAAAGCAGGACTAGAAGAAAAACTAAAAGGCAGTCGGTTAAATGCGATTAATTTAACTAGTGCCCGTGTAATCTTCTCGCTGCGTTCCTTGCTAACAGATGTAATCCCACCTGCACGTTTTCGTGGTATAGTGGCCGAATTAGTGGAAGAAGTACTGACGCTTGTATCAGAGAAAGAAGATCCTTCGATTGGGTCATCTGTATCTGTGCTGTATTAAAAATAGTATATTATATACATATACATGTGTGTATAATATATATATACATAGTGTACACAAAAACGTTAAATAATTAAATTGAAAACTAAATATTAATACCAATACTCACTGTTCTTTATAATCATGCTGTTGTGTTACATGTTTTTGTGATGGCGTTAAATCATGTACTCTTTTTAAATGCTGTACTAAGGTACTTGTAGAATTATGTGTTCGAAGCACTGTATCACATAATTCGCAAGTTGCTGACTGGCCATCAGGAGCTTTCAAGCAATATTGCCACACCCAGCTCTTCTGCATATTTTCTTAATCTGTAAACTTCTCACACTGCAAACGTATGTCACGATACTGTGATCACGAAATCGCGATACCATATTATTTAGTCGTGTATTGTTTACTCGTGTTGTCCTTGCAATGCTACTGCTATAGCAAACAAATATAAACGTACTAAATGATATGATATCGCGATTTCGTGATCACAGTATCGTGACATACGTTTGCAGTGTGAGAAGTTCACAGATTAAGAAAATATGCAGAAGAGCTGGGTGTGGCAATATTGCTTGAAAGCTCCTGATGGCCAGTCAGCAACTTGCGAATTATGTGATACAGTGCTTCGAACACATAATTCTACAAGTACCTTAGTACAGCATTTAAAAAGAGTACATGATTTAACGCCATCACAAAAACATGTAACACAACAGCATGATTATAAAGAACAGTGAGTATTGGTATTAATATTTAGTTTTCAATTTAATTATTTAACGTTTTTGTGTACACTATGTATATATATATTATACACACATGTATATGTATATAATATACTATTTTTAATACAGCACAGATACAGATGACCCAATCGAAGGATCTTCTTTCTCTGATACAAGCGTCAGTACTTCTTCCACTAATTCGGCCACTATACCACGAAAACGTGCAGGTGGGATTACATCTGTTAGCAAGGAACGCAGCGAGAAGATTACACGGGCACTAGTTAAATTAATCGCATTTAACCGACTGCCTTTTAGTTTTTCTTCTAGTCCTGCTTTCAAAACATTTATGAAAGAAATCGAGCCTGGATACAAATAGCGTACTAGACTATCTTTTTAAAAAGCCCGAAAACACGCATTTAACTTCGGCAGCTCAGCAGATCCAACTGTATCTTTGTGAGCCACAAATTGATATTAATATGAATCCCCTTCAATGGTGGAAATCACATGAAAAGAAATTTCCACAGTTGGCTCTGTTGGCGAAGAAATATTTATGTATTCCCGCGACATCCGTTGCGTCAGAGCGAATTTTTTCAACTGCGGGTAATATCGTTTCGCCACAACGGAGCTGCATGGCCTCTGAGAATGTTTCGACAAATGTTTTTATTTTTCAAAACAAATTTTTATTAGAGCAATAAAGCCAAGTATTTTTTTTTTTACAAAAAATATTTAGTTTTATTTAGTTTTATTTAGTTTTTATTTTAGTTTTTTTTTAATTTTCTATTTAGTTTAAAAATAATTTTGTTAACGAATTGTTAATTGTTAATTGTCTTAACAATTTTTATATAGATTAAAAGCAAAATGTGTTGGACATCTAATTGATGAATTTTCGAAAATATTTCAAAAAACAGCGATTAAAGTTTTAGTGACAGTATATAACACAATTTAAATCTCTGACGTAATAAAATATTGTAACTTGGTAAATGTTTCAAATTGTAACAAGCGTTTTATTTTAAAAATATTATAAAATGTTCAACCTTTAAAAAAATTGATTTTTTGAAAGTTTAAAAGTGATCTCCACTCTTAAAAACTATACATTAGCCAACGCGCGCTATTCTCGCTATATATATGTACACATACGAATTTTGCGATAAACAAATATAAATAACTATTCTTGAACTCAACAACTATTCTTAATAAATATATATATTTTTGAATAAGATATATAATTGCCAATTGCAATATTAATCTTTTAAGTGATAGATATACTTCAAACAACTATAGCATATTGAGGACAAATATCGCAGTATGCGTTATTTGATAATTTCAGAACAAGAAATATTTCCGAAAACTCGTTTCATGTTTCAATAAGAACGGCTTAATTTTTTATTTAAAACTTTTCCATTTTAAACATGTAATAATTCATGTTATAATATTTCAAGATTGTAATTTAGGAATAATTACACATTTTTTTTAGTATATATATTGACTAATTCTTTTTCTTTTTACAATATTTTTAGCGTCCTTTAAATGAGTTCGACATTCGCACAAATATATTGTTCGAAACTTCGAAGTTTCGAAGGTTC